GGCGGGMGYGGGGGGGMGTWKKGAATGTTCTTRYATTATAAATCCCAGGAACTARAACTCCCAAATGTCAAAATCAWTTTTTTTGYGTGAAGGACATACATTYGGMTGTTAAYTGTCCAGTGGTTTTTGATTTCTGTTAATCCCACAAATGAACATTACATTTTTATTTATATAGATTTATTTCCTATATTTATACCCTTTCTCTGAAATAGAGCACCTGCTATTCATTTGTGGCTTCCCATCCAAATACTAACCAGAACTGGCCCTGCTTAGCATTCAAGATCAGAGACATTTAATCTTTCATTGACTTTGCCAGGTATTATTCTTCTGTACAGTCGTCTCTGTGACCCTCTGTGACCCAACCTGGACAGGCAGTCTCCAAGTTACAAACAAATTATGTAGTTTTGTCCTCACTGTAGGCTGAACAGTAAACATATTCATGGATTCACTGCTGTTATATTAAGACTGTTACACATGCTGTGACATGCTTGAAATCAAAATTTCATTTATTTGTAATTAGAAATAAATATTTCACAATGTATATTACCTATTGTTTTTGTGATTAATCACTATGCTTTATGTTCAGATTGTAACAATAAAAATACATCCTGCATATCAGATATTTACATTACGATTCATATAAGTAGCAAAATAAGACATGTGCAGTGTGCATAGGAATTTGGTCATGGTTTTTTTTTTAAAAAAAAAAAACTATAGTCCGGCCCTCCAATGGTCAGAGGGACAGTAATCTGGCCCCCTGTTTAAAAAGTTTGGGGACCCCTGCTGTAAATCATCGCCTTCTCCTGAGGAAAATTTATAATATCACAAAGGACTATCACCTCACCCACCTCATAGGAAATCTGTTACAAAACAGGAGCTTCTTTGTTGAGTTCCAGGGCCAAAGAAGCAGATGGTAAAAACAGAAGAACGACCTGCCTCAGGGAAGCATGTTCCATCAATGTTCAACATTTACACAAATGACCAGCACTGCCAGAAGAGACAGAGAGTTTCATCTATGCTGATGATCGTGCCATCATCACTCAAGCAAGGAGCTTTGAGATGGTTGAACAGAAGTTCTCCGAAGCTCTAGGTGCTCTTATTGCCTATTACAGAAAGAACCAGCTGATTCCAAATCCATCTAAAACACAGACGTTTTCTTTTCATCTTAAGAACAGAGAAGCATCCCGAGCTCTGAGGATTACCTGGGAAGGAATCCCACTAGAGCATTACAGTACACCCAAATACCTGGGAGTTATCCTGGACCATTCTCTGACCTACAAGAAGCACTGCCTGAATATCAAGCAAAAGGTGGGCACTAGAAACAATATCATATGAAAGCTGACTGTTAAACCTGAGGATCACAACCAGATACAGTGAAGACATCTGCCCTTGCGCTTTGCTACTCTACTGCTGAGTATGCATGCCCAGTGGGGAACACATCTCACCACACTAAAACAGTGGGTGTGGTTCTTAATGAGACATGCCGCATTATCATGGGGTGTCTGCGCCCTACACTGCAGAAATTACATTGTTTAGCCGGTATTGCGCCCCCTGACATCCGCTGGGAAATAGCTCCCAATAGTGAAAGGACCAAGGCAATGACATCTTTGGCCCATCCCCTGTTCGGATATCAGCCAGCACGCCAATGACTTAAATCAAGAAATAGTTTTCTAAGATCTACAGAGACACTGCTGGAACACTTCAGCAAGCGAGAGTCCAAAAGTGGCAGGCTGAAACACCTCAGGAAGCAAGAGTCCAAAAATTGGCAGGCTAAAACCCAGAACCTCAACCAATGAGTGATACCAAATGAGAGACTCCCTCCTGGGCACACAGAAAACTGGGCAACTTGGAAGGCGCTGAACAGACTGCGCTCTGGCACCACAAGAGGCAGAGATAATCTTAAGAAATGGGGCTACAAAGTGGAGTCCATGACGTGCGAGTGTGGAGAAGAGCAAACCACAGACCACCTACTGCAATGCAACCTGAGCTCTGCCATATGCACAGTGGAGGACCTTCTTATAGCAACACCAGAAGCACTCCAAGTGGCAGCTACTGGTCAAAGGACATTTAATAGAATGCCAGTTTTCAAACTTTGTGTGTGTGTGTGTGTGTTTTAAATACAATACAACTGATCACTCCTGATATGATAAATAATATAGTCCTGTAAACTATTTAAATCTCTAGTTTGATAGGTTTTGAGCAATGAAGAACAGTGTCATCTTGGATGGATGAGTAAAATAGGGCCAGTAGTTTCAGTCCTCCTCTGAGTAGAAGAGGCACAGAGCATTAAACATCCCAAAACGTTATAACTACAGGTCAGGTCCCTTATCTGGAATGCTGAAATCCTCTATAATCCAAGATTGTCCACTTGGGGGGCTGAGAGAGTGATACTGTTGCTTTCAGTGGACACAGATGTTGTTTTGTGCCAAATCATTAAAAAATTATGTGGATCTGGTGGCCTTCAAGCTCCATATGTCTGGTATATATGAAACATCAGTGCATTTCATGTTTAGACTTGGGCCTAATCTCCAAGTCTTGGGAGATGTCAGAAGGGATTTGCCTTTGATGAAGAAGGTGTGGGACTTGCCCAGGGTCATCCACTGGGTTTCCGTGGCCGAGTGGGGATCCGAACCCTGGTCTCCAGAGTCCTAGTCCAATGCTCAAAGCAGAATGCCATGTTGGCTTGAGGGAATGCACCTTCGCTGTGTTTTTCAGCTACTGCATCTACTTCCGCCTGAAGCAGGCCAGCCTTGCCTGCCATCTGCATTTCTGGAGCAGCCAACTGGTGAGGGAGCGTCGGGTTTGTGTGGAGTGCCAAGGGGGAGCTGTGGGCAGCAAGAAGAGGTGCCAAGGGGACGGCCTACAGGGATCCAGGTGGGTAGCTTCCAGGTGCCCTCTTCATTCCCCATTCTCCAGCTGGATGCATGCATGTGTTGTTGGAATCATATACTACCTATTAGGGTTGTGTGATCCATTAAAAATGGTTCAAAAGTCATTACAAAACTGGGGGCACTGGTGCTTCATTTCTAAAGTGTTTCTAAAGTATACTTACTGAAAAATTCGTTACTATAATGAGAGTAATGAAATTTTGTTACTATTTCGTTACTGTAATTGCGCATGCACATAATTAAATTACTAGGGGAAACTTCAGGGGCCCCTTTCTCCCTCATTTTTAAAACTATTGGGGTAAAACTTGCTACAATGGTAGAACACATTTACCACTGTTAGCCCAACAAATTTCAGAATGTTTCACTTATCCACGGATTTTTGGGGAATTTTCAAAGTTTTTATAAAAACTTTTTAAAAAGAAAATACAAGAGCTATTTCCTTGAATTTTCTGTACAATGACAGGAGATAACAGGGGATCATTTCCCCAGTTTCCAGAAATATTCATACATTTACTGATTTTAGTAATTTAAAAATGTTTTGACAAAAAACATTTTTTTAAAAAAAGCCGTGTGATGAAGTACTGATTTTTAACTGTAAGTTAAGCGTAGTTATGTATATGTGTCTCTACAGTTAAATATGATTGTATGTATGTATGTATATGTGCGTGTGTGTATATATATATGTGCTTAGATGGTTGAATATTATTATGTGTATGTGTTCAGGAGGTAAAAGACAGTTATGGATGTACATAAAGGGTTAGCCATTTAGAAATGGCAGAACTAGGGTGATGGGACCAAGCTCAGAACTCTGAGTTAGGTTGCCAAGGAGAAAGGGGTGGAGCCAACTGCACTTACCAGAAGCAGACATTTTGAGGCTTCAGTCCTTTGGTCATTAAGCCAAAGAGAAGGTGGTTCAAACGTGTGGTGAACCAATCTAAGGGAAAGCTTTTAGCCTGAATGATTTAAATAAGTCAAGGGAACTTATTTAGGTTTGTGGTTTAACTGTGTGCTATAGGAGAAGAAAGCCCACTGGGAATCTTTGCTTCAGCAGGAAGCTGAAGGGAGACAAGGGCATTAGCCGACCTTAATCTGTCAAATAAGGAAACATATTTAGAAGTGTAACAACTAAAGAACTAGTTGGTGAAGTAAAAGACATCCTAAGTTATATTAAAGTTTGTTGAAACTGTAACTCATAAAGCTTTATACCTCAGGAGAAGAGAACTCTGAAACCATTAAGACCCTTCCATACTCCAAATAAACTTGTTCTTGTTTTAGTAACTCAAGTCTCAGTGTACTATTCCAAAGGTGGGGGGGGGGGGACCCTACACACCAAAAGAAACACTACAGAGTGGTATTATTATTATTATTATTATTATTATTATTAAACTTTATTTGTACCCCGCTAGCATCTCCCGAAGGACTCGATGCAGCTTACAAAGGCCAAGGCCTCAAACAACAGCAACAGACAATAACAATATAATACAAGCAAATTAAAAACATAAGCAGTGAATCTATTTGAAAATAGGGGAATCCATTAATAAACTAAATAGGAAACCCTTATTAATTGGTGACAGCATAGCCTAGTACCTCACAGATGGTATACTAGATTAAATAGAATATCAGACAACGAAGAGGAAGCCTTTACAAGCCGCTACAACGATCTCATTGAATGTCTCTCATAATAACAATTTAATGTCTCTCATATTAACCATCAGAAACCAATATTAACCAATTCTACATTTTCATAGACTCCTAGAGTTGGAGGGGACTCCCAAAAGCCATCTAACCCAACCCCTTCTTCCAGGCAGAAGGGAACCATCAAAACTCTACTGACAGATGGCTATCCAGCCTCTATGTCATGAATGACTTTTCAATAACTTTAAAGCATAGGTTCTTTTTATTGCAATTTCCAGTGTGAGAGGGTATCTCAGATTACAGAAAAACATTTAGACAAAGAATGACATTGGACATACAGACATACAGATTCTATGCAACTACATTGGATTTACAATTACATTGGTTAACAAACAAACAAACAAACATACAAAGGGAATTACATTTTTACTCAACATTCACACCACGTGTACATGCATTCATCCTCAGGCATTCAAGTATTACCATATCATTTTCTCCCTCCTTGGAGAAGCACCTGTTAGGCCAGACCCTGATTTCCTGCAGCCTGCCAATGCAGAGTTCCAAAACTTCCATAACACCAAAACTTCAGAATGCCGAAATGCCAAAACTTCTTTCCCTAAGAACAATGCCAAGGACCAGATCTCTGTTTTCCATACAGCAGAACCTGACTCCCTGCACAAAATCTAGGACTCCAAAAGCACATTTCTTCCTCTTCCCTTGAGAAAGAATCCCCAAAGTGACCAGAATCGTGCTTTCCCATAGCATATCTGTCACTCTCCTTAGGTACACTATCTCTCTCCTTCCCATGGAGCAGAGCATAGCAGGTGAACAGCAGTCTCTGTCTGTCACAATTTGAGCATTATTAGACTGAGTCTTTTATAGGAATATTCTGTTGATGTAGTCCCAAAGTTGTAAATTAATAATAGACGACTTCCATCCTCGTTCCATCTTAGTTTCCTGGCCAGATGTTGATCTTCTTGATTGGTGTTGATCTTATGTTGACTTCCTTCTTAACATTTCCTTAACTTGAAAGAACCATTGTCACAGTTCTTATCAATTCTCATTAGCAGGTTTTGATCACAGTTCCAGCAAGCAAGTAGTAGTCATTGCAGGCCTTAATATTATACTGGTGTTTCCAAAATTATTAACTCCAACCACACATCCTTCCATTCTTCCATTCATTCCCACACATCATATTGAATTCATATCTGTCAAATCTGCACATTGAATTTCTTGTGACATTCCCCCTCTTGCATATAGATTTCATTTTTAAATCTATATGCAACATATAGTAAGGTAACTTCTTTTTTAAAAAAAATATTTTTATTGTTTTATCATAGTTATTACCTTTGTTATACATTTGTTATAGCAGTTACTTCTAAATTTCAGTTGTATCGAAATCTCAATTTCTTGAAGCAGCATCATTTTCACAATTACAAGTAACAATGCTTCCCCTATGAGCCATCCATTTAGGGATTTCTTCCCAGCCTAGCACAGAGATTTACTTACCAGAAGTATTAGCTAATCCTCTTTGCAGATTCAACCATTCGTTGGCACTCTTGCTGCCTGCTGTGAGGGAGGGACAAATTTCTCTCTCTGCTACCCTGATTGGTGCTTTCTGGTGGTGCTGCAGTCTGGGATGTAGTTTAGGGCAGGGCCTTTTGAATTCTCTGGCATAGGGCTCCTCCCTTCCCAAACTACATTTCGCAGAGTTCTGTGCTGTTCCCAGAAAACACTGCTCCCTCTGTTCCCCTCTCCTAATGGCGAGAGAGAGGCCATTAATTTATAGAAGAAAGGCAAGGCTGGCACTAAGGCAGGCTTTTTGGCTTTGCTTTTTGAGCTTTGCTTCCTTGCACTGAATATGAAACTGACTTCGGGAGATGTATTGTTGAAGGCTTTCATGGCTGGAATCACTGGGTTGTTGTAGGTTTTTCGGGCTGTATGGCCATGTTCTAGAAGCAGTTTTGCCCGCATCTATAGCAGGCATCCTCAAAGGTTGTGAGGTCTGTTGGAAACTAGAAAAATTGGGTTTATATATCTGTGGAAAGTTTGGGTGGGAGAAAGAACTCTTGTATGTTGGAGATAAGTGTCAATGTTTCAACTGGCCACCTTGATTAGCATTGGATGGTCTGAGAGTTTTTAGGTGTGGCTTGTTTCTGCCTGGGGGAATCCTTTGTTGAGAGTTGATTAGTTGTTCCTGATTGTTTCTTGTCTGGAGTTCCCCTGTGTTTGAGTTTTGTTCTTTACTTACTGTTATTATTTTAGAGGTTTTTTAAATATTGGTAGCCAGATTTTGTTCATTTTCATGGTTTCTTCCTTTCTGTTGAAGTTGTCCACATGCTTGTGGATTTCAATGGCCTCTCTGTGTAGCCTGACATGGTAGTTGTTAGAGTGGTCCAGCATTTCTGTGTTCTCAAATAATATGCTATGTCCACAGCATGCAGCTGTGGACAAGTCTACATAGGGAACACCAAACGCAGCATTGCCCAGACATGAATAAAGAAACATGAAAGGCACTGCAGACTACTTCAACCAGAGAAGTCAGCCATAGCAGAGCACCTGATGAACCAACCTGGACACAGCATATTATTTCACTTTCACAGATCCCCGTGAAAGTGAAAAACCATGGATTATAAAAATTGATGTATTTTGAGAGAAAACCTTTCGGATCTTCCAGCACAGCTTTACAATCAACTTCTGGCAAAAGTTGACCATGGTATCACACTGGAGGATCTAGAGCATTGGTTTTCAAAGTGTGCTCCGTGGAGCCCTTGTGGCTCCATGAAGCATACTGAGAGGCTCCGTGCTTCCCTCCTCCTCTTCCTCACTCCTTTTCCTCCCACTCCAGTTTTCCCTCCTCCTTCCTGCTCCTCCCACTCGCCCACCTCCCTTGTCCCCCAAAGCCTTTCCTCCTCTCCTTCCTTATGGCCAAAAGCCTTTTTTCCTCGTCTTCTGTGCTTCTAAAACTTTATTTTCCTCTCACAACTCAGGGTTGCTTTGACTGTGCTTTTCTTGCATGGCAAAAGGGAGTTGAACTGGATGGCCCCCGGGGTTTCTATTATTATTATTATTATTATTATTATTATTATTATTATTATTATTACAAAAACTGGGTGGCCACCTGTTGGAGGTGCTTTGATTGTGCTGTATAAGCGCTAACCATTCTTGCACAGCTGACTCGATTTCCTTGTTTTCTTATAGAACATTCTGGACCGCCGCCTCCATTGCCGGCTGTCAAGGATCCTGGGTTCAAGAGTCACTACAGGACAACTGTGTCTGTCCAGAACTTTCCTTTATTTTTGTATGACGCCGCGTCGAGCGGGACAAAGGCCCAGAGAGGGAGAAGTGAAGGAAATTCCAAATGCAAAACTGACACTGCTTTATCTTACCTCGGCTTCCATATCAATCCATGCTCTGTAGCCCTTGTCCTGTGCCTCTGCCTAATCCATTTTCTTTCTTTTCTTTTTAGTGGCTATGTCACTACATTGCTATTGCTACAACAGGAGAGCTTCTTTTTCAGCAATGACACCTTTAAAAACATTGGTACAAAGGAGCCAACGGAAGCTTCTCTTTTTTTGCAGAGCTTGGAAGTTAATTACCGTACATCACACCCTTTGTCATGAGTTACTTTTTGTTTTTGGAACGTCGGCATAGCGCTGCAACACCGTAAACTGGTGCAAAGTATTTTTATTTGCAGGACAAACAGTGGACTCGGGTTACTTCTACAGTGTAACCAACACTGAAAAGCCAATGGTGTTTTGATGAGAATGCTCCAGATTTTACGTCGTTTTTTTACCAAGCCTAAGCGGGATTTGTTTGTGCCCAGATCACAAATCTCTTAAACTCATCTTTGATCCTAATTCTGTCTTCTGATATGTTGGTGCTGGTGGAAAATGTCAGGAACATCCCTTCTAGTCCTGTATTAAAGTTGCTTCCAAATGTGTTGAACAAACTGGGCCAAGGATAGCACCCTTTGGAGCCCCACATTTCACTTCCCTTCAAGATAATCAGCTGTGAGATCTTGATAGGGATGGTACCTCTGCCTGCTACAAATGCGCCTGGCCCTAGCATTGTCTCTAGTCCAAAATTATATGTTCTCTTCAAGAATATCACAGGGGACTTTCTCAAAAGCCTTCTGGAAATCAAGATAAACTACATCTATGACATTCCTGTAATCTACCAATTTGTAACTTTCTTGTAAAAACAAAAAGATAAAATTAATCTGGCATTGCTTGATTTCCAGAAACACTTGGCTGTTGATTTGTTTATTTATTTTGTGTCAAAGGCATTGCATAAATAAATAAGTTTAAAACTGATAAAATGAAGGGAGCACAAGCAGCTAAATAATTTTAGACCAAAAACGGGCCACAGCAACTGCATTGTCTGTAGCTTTAAATGGTTTTTCCTCTGTGCATGAGTCAGGCCATTGTGGGCAAGCATACAGGTGCTAAGTTGTTTGTTCTGCTCCGCAATTGCACAAGGTGGAGGATTCTTTTAGGCAGTGCCATTTAGCCAGGTTGCCTTTTGATCTGCCCACTCCACTTCTGAGTCTCTTCATGGACTTCTGTGTTGCCCATTCTTGGCTTATCCCTGGAGGAAGACTCTCGTGGGGGGCCATCCAGTTGGGATTGCCTGGTTTAGCTGCCCAGAGGGATACTCTTGCTGTTGTTAGGGTAACGTTAAGAGGAGTGGTGGTTCTCATGAAACTTTTCCTTGATTTAAGTCTCCTGGGAGGGGGCTGATAGCCGTGCAGTCGATGGCTTTCACATTGTTCAATCTTATTTCTCTCACAATTGGCCGTAACTTCCTGTCACACATCGGGGGGGGGGGGGGGGCAATGCCAGCCAGCTTATAAAGTCTATCAACAGGTGTAGGTTTGAGGCATCCTGTGATTATTTTACCTGTCTCATTCAGTGCTATATTCACCTGCTTTGCGTGGACAGACTTGTGTCAAACAGGATAGGCATACTCCGCAGAACATCAGAGTAAGGCCTGCACCCCATGTGCTGCCAGTATGTTTCCCCAGGATGTTATTGTGTGCAGCTACTTTGTGCTTGGTGTTCATGCAGTGTTTCCTAAATGTTGGTGTTCGATCTAAGGTGATGTTGAGATACTTAAGGCGGGAACAGTGTTCAAGCTCTTGGCCTTCCCAGATAACTTGCAATTTCCTGTTGGCTTCACGGTTACATAGGTGGAAAGTACACATTTGTGTCTTGGCAGGGTTAGGCTTCAGGTGGTTATCTTTGTAGTAGCTGGAGAGATCTTTCAGGGTATTTGGAAGTTGGTTTTCAATTGTTTCAAAGTCTTTTGCTTGTATTGTTAGGACAAGGTCATCAGCGTATATAAAGCTCTTTTTGAGTGATGACTGTGGCTGAATGTTAGTAAAAATATTAAACAAGGTCGGCGCAAGAACACTGCTTTGGGATAGATCATTCTTTTGCCTCCTCCATCTACTTTTCCTGCCTTGGAACTCCACATAGAAGCTGTGGTTTTCTAGGAAGGTTTGGATGGTTTTTGATATGTTAGACTTTAATGCAGCATTTTTCTATGTTGCGTCATGTCATAGGCTGCCGTAAGGGCCACAAAAACTGTTTCCGTAATGCAGCCTTTTTCATATCCTTCCTCGATATACTCAGTCTGATTAAGAATTTGGGCTATACATTTTTCCCTGATCTGAAACCTACTTGGTATGCAATAAGCTGGGATTCAGTACAGGTCCTAATCAATTTAATAGCATCATCTCATGTACCTTATATAGATGACATAAGAGAGAGATTGGTCGGTAGTTCCTGGCATTGGAGGCATCTTTACCAGGTTTTAAAAGGGCAGTGATCTTAGTTTTCCTCCTCCATTCATTCATACAGTTGTTTCCCAGTACTGTGTCTTCAAGTTGTTTCTGACCTGCAATGACCCTAAGGTGAAATATAGTCCTTGTTACAAGGCACAAACTCCAGCCCAGCCGCATATTCCTCCAGCTATCCTCCGGCATTCACAAATTGGCAAGAACGGTCCCATTAATCCTCTACTATCCCACTGTTTCCAGCTGCATTTAAAATGTCCTAGCTTCTTCTCCTATGTTCCCCCTTTGTCCCCAGCACCATTTAACTACTGCAAGCAGAGGGCAAAGGGGGAAAGGCATTTGTGCTCCATTTAGAATCATAGAATCATTGAGTTGGGAGAGACCTTGTGGGCCACCCAGTCCTACGCCCTGCCACAAAGCAGGACAATTGCATTCAAAGCACCCCCGACAGAAGGCCATCCAGCCTCTGTTTAAAAGCCTCCAAAGAAGGAGCCTCCACCACACTCCAGGGCAGAGCATTCCACTGCTGAACAGCTCTCACAGTCAGGAAGTTCTTCCTAATGTTCAGGTGGAATCTCCTTTCTTGTAGTTTGAAGCCATTGTTCCGCATCCTAGTCTGCAGGGCAGCAGAAAACAAGCTGGCTCCCTCCTCCTTATGACTTCCTCTCACATACTTATACATACCTATCATGCCTGCTCTCAACCTTCTCTTCTTCAGGCTAAACATGCCCAGCTCTGCTCAGCAAAGGGCGAGAGAGAGAATCCTGTGCTTCTCAGAAGGCTCAGCCCAAAGTAAATCTTTGCAGCCTCTCCCAGCTTGTGTGCTCTGCCTCACGGATATCTTTTGCTCAGTTTTCATCTCTGAAATGTTGAAGGGGAAGCAATGGAGTCCCAACAATGCCTTTGGAGTGAGCAGAAAGGGCCAGTGCCATGCTGTCTCAAATCCGTGCAACTTGCCTGGTTGGCTGTCTTTCCCAACGGCTCCAAAAGTCGACTTGGCACATCAGAATGGTGGCTGCTGCCCTGGCGGCGGAGAACAATGGCCCAGTGCTTTGCCGGCAAATCCCTCTTTCGGGTGGACAAATGTTTGGAATGTCACTTGCACCCCCCTCTCCTTCCCCTGTAACAGTGGGTCAGGGTTGCACAAAAGGAGGGTGTGCCATGAGGCCCTGGTTCTTTGGACAGAGGTATGAAGGGCAACCACGTATTAAAGGACAAGGAGAGGGGTCAGAAAGAGACCTTTTTATTCTGGACAGTTCAAAAGGATCAGCTGAATCTTGTCGGGCGAGGCCTCGGAAGCAACAACTTTCTTTTTGTAGTCCTCACTTGGCTTTGTCCCTTTTCACTTGTACATGTTCTATACCTTGTACTGGCAGCTTCATAGGGTCTGAGAATCCAAGTGATATGCCAGACTTGCCCACCAACGTTTCACAGATGTAAAATGGCACATACATGGCCAAGCAACATAAGACTGTGGTCAAGACAATGAAAAGTTATTCATAAGGACTAACACACAAATTGAGAGAGGCTACAGTGATTTGCTTTTGCCTGAGCCTGTTAAGCAGGGCACAGTTCTGCCCCCTCCTGTTACTTTTGCCCTGTGCACTCTGAGATATGATTCTAAAGTTCCTGTTTCATTACTTGGCTGTGGCCAAATCTTGCAAACATGCAAATCATTCTCTAGGCTAGCGTTTCTCAATCTGGGAGACACGAGGGGGGTGCCAGAGGGGTCACCAAAGACCATCAGGAAACACAGTATTTTCTGTTGGTCAAGGGGATTCTGTGTGGGAAGTTTGGCCCAATTCTATTGTTGGTGAGGTTCAGAATTTTCTTTGATTGTAGGTGAACTATCAAGGTCAAACCCTTCCAGTAGTTTCTGTTGGTCATGGGAGTTCTGTGTGCCAAGTTTGGCCCAATTCCATTGTTGGTGGGGTTCAGAATGTGTTTGATTGTAGGTGAACTATAAATCCCAGCAACTACAACTCCCAAAAGTCAAGGTCTATTTTCCCCAAACTCCACCAGTGTTCACATTTGGGCATATTAATTATTCGTGCCAAGCTTGGTCCTGATCCATCACTATTTAAGTCCACAGTGATCGCTGGATTTGGTGAACTACAACTCCAAAAATCAAGGTCAATGTCCACCAAACCCTTCCGATATTTTCTGTTGGTCATGAGAATTCTGTGTGCCAAGTTTGGCCCAATTCAATCGTTGGTGGAGTTCAGAATGCTCTTTGATTGTAGGTGAACTATAAATCACAGCAACTACAACTCCCAAATGACAAAATCAATCCCTCCCAACCCCACCAGTATTCAAATTTGGGCGTATCGGGTATTTGTGCCAAATTTGGTCCAGTGAATGAAAATGCATCCTGCATATCAGACATTTACATTGTGATTCATAACAGTAGCAACATTACAGTTGCAAAGTAACAATAAAAATAATTTTATGGTTGGGGGTCACCACAACATGAGGAACTGTATTAAGGGATTGCGGCATTAGGAAGGTTGACAACCACTGCTGTGGGCGTTACTGTAAAACAACCATGTGCATCCATGCCTGGGAAAGGGAGGGTTTGTGTTTTCAAAATGAATGAAACACAGCAAAAACAGTTCCCAGAGAAAACATATTCATCAGAAGAGATTTCTATGTCTTGGTTTTTAAAAATGCTTTATTAAAATGAGAATCCCATCAATCAACACATTGTTCAGCCCTCCGAAACAAACATTAGAGCTTCTTATAACAGGAGCAAAGAGCAAAATGCTGAAAATAGTAAAACTCAGTCACACGTGGGGCACTTGAATCAGATACTCTTCCCAACAACTACTCAAGAAAACACTTCTGGTTACCTGTATTGTCGAAGGCTTTCATGGCCGGAATCACTGGGTTGTTGTAGGTTTTTCCGGGCTATATGGCCATGTTCTAGAGGCATTTTCTCCTGACGTTTTGCCTGCATCTATGGCAAGCATCCTCAGAGGTAGTTTTGCCTGCATCTATGGCAAGCAACCTCTGAGGATGCTTGCCATAGATGCAGGCAAAACGTAAGGAGAAAATGCCTCTAGAACATGGCCATATAGCCCGGAAAAACCTACAACAACCCACTTCTGGTTACCGTTTGTGCAATCTTGACTTACAACAAGTCTTCTGACCCTGAAGAGTATAGTTTAGGCCACCAACGCTGATCAGAACAGGTGTGTTAGTCAGAATGGAAGGAGTTGGGTACCAGTGTGGATCCTTTTGCTAACTCTGGCCAATGGCCTGTCTCAAGTCTCTGGCCTAACTTGATATCCCAGCTCTGTGGTTTAGCCAGGGAAGCAAAGGAGTGACCGTAGTATCCCTTTGTGGCCAAGTGGCAGCCAAAGGCATGCACCCAACTACATCTTGGAACAGTAACTTCCCCCATCTGAGGCAAGAAGATGCAAAATAGAGAAGGGAAGGAGGATGGCAGCTCTCTTCCTTTCTCTCTGTCTGCCTCTCCTCTGCGTTCAGAAATCCTCAGGTGTCTCTCTTGCTTCCTGCTGCAGCAATGGCAGGTGCCATCCCATGTCCTCTGAGCACTTCCTGCACAGACAGAACATCCTCTCTCAGCTCCTGGGAAGTAAAGCTGATCCTGTCCACACTGGGCACTTCCCCTTCTTCTGCCGATTCCAAAATATGGAGTGCAAGGGCGGCTGTGGCCAGCAGCGCTGAGACAGCGATGTGTACTTTTGGGCAAGCCAGGGATTTCAGGAGCAAGGAAGTGTCACGATCTGAAACATGAGAGATAGTTGAGGGTTTCTATGATAACACTATGTAAAAAAAATGAAAAATAAATCTGTTCCTGGTTTGAAAGTGTTATTTCCTGTTTCGTTGTACGGTACTTAGTTTGAAAGTATCTTCCCTAAACTTTGTCCTTGTGGCTGCCACAAAAGATGTGATGAGATATTCATTGAAAAACTATAGCAAAATGTGCTGCAGGATGTCCCTCCCACACAAAGTTTTGGAAGCTTACTAAACTTTTCCCATGTTTTTATGGTAGAACATATTAGGAAATGGCATTTGCTAATTGTGTGACATAGTGTAATCTCATCCACAAAAGTCAAATTCGTAAACATGGAGGGCTGACTGTCTACACTTTTAAGGTTCATTTTTGCATCTGGAAGGAACAGAAGCCTTTTTTTTTTTTTTAAGAAGTGGAGTGTTGATCTCTGGGCTGCTGAATTTCATGACTGAGCCTAAGTAAATGTAAAGGTTTTTCCCTGACATTAAGTCCATTCATGTTTGACTCTGGGGGTTGGTGCTCATTTCCATTTCTAAGCCGAAGAGCAGGCATTGTCCTCCAAGGTCATGTGCCCGGCATGACTGCATGGAGCACAGTCCAAATGAGAGTATTATTTATTATATTTATTTCTATCTCAGTTTAGATCAGATCCTTGGGCTCTTTTCTCAGGCCCTTCTCTCTCTCACCATCCTATCCTTCCTTCCTTCCTTCTCTCTTTCCTTCCTCCTTCCCTCTCCTTCTTTCCATCCTTCTCTTCCACCCTTTCTTTCTTCTATTTTTCCTTCCTCCTCCCTTCCATCCTTCACATCCTCTTTTATTGTTCCTTTGTTCTTCCCCTTTGTCTTTTCTTCCTCTTTCCTTTCTTCTTCCCTCCTTCCCTTACTTCCCTCCGTTTCTCCCTCCCCCTTCCTTCCCTTCCACCCTTCCTTCCTTTCTTCTTTCTTTCCCCCTCCTTCCCTCTCCCTCTCTCCCTTTCTCCTTCCTTCCTTCCTTCCTTCCTTCCTTCCTTCCTTCCTTCCTTCCTTCCTTCCTTCCTTCCTTCCCTTTTGTCTTTCCTTCTCTCTTTCCTCCCTCCTTCCATGCTCTTTTCTACCCTTCCTTCCAGCCTTCTCTCCCTCCTTCCCTCCTCTTTTTCCTTCCTCCTTTCCTCCTGGAAGATGTTTAGCTGGGAGAAGAGACGGTTGAGGCCTGGTTTAGATGCTTGAATAATAAATTGGACTGTGGAATCAAAGATGTCTCAAAGTCTCAATTTTGGTTAAGGCTCAGCCCTTCACCTTAGAATGCCCCGGCTATCTTTAGACCTACCTTGGTGCCACCAAAGCTTGCAGCGCTGGAGGTCCGAAAAGATCTCGGGTCCGGTGACTTTGAGCCAGTTGGACATTGCCATCTGAAGCTCTGGGGAGCTGGATGCCCGGCTGTGGAGCTGGAGGAGGAAGGGCAGCAGCGTCTGGGAGAGGACCCCTGGCTCGGCGTAAACGTTTGGCTCATCCTCTTTGTAGAGACTAACAGCCCTGTGTATGGTGAGAGAGATGGACAGACACACAGGGATTGAAAAGCCACCAAGCCCTTGGTCTACACCAGCTTTCTCCATCCAAAAGACTACAACTCCAAGACAACCAGCTTTTGAATAAGGCCAATCTCTGGTCCAGAAGGCCACTGGCAAACAAAGAGGACATTTCTGCAAAAGAGGCAGGGTTTTGGAAGAAAGAAATAGTCAAAATCCAGAACCAGGCATAGTAAGCAGTTCAAAGCCCACCTCCTAGGGTTGTCAGGAAAGATGACCTTCTAGGTTGGTGCTGATAGCCAGCAAGAACCACAGAGATCCCCTTGAGCTCCTGGGATAGAAATGTCATGAATTCAGATTATTTAAAATATAAGTAAAATTATTAATTCTTAAGGTGAGAAAACTCCATAAATCAAACAAAGGAAAGAAATTATTTTTTCCAAATAACAATTCAGTTTACCTAGCTCCCTAAGTCATGCCTCATAGAGATTCATGGCTTCCAGACTTTGGACCATTTTGGTGGTCCTTCTCTGGACCCCTTCCACCCTGTCCCATCTCCTTGAATTGCTTTGCCCAGAACCAGGCAGAGCGTTGTTAATCCAGGTGAGGTCTGACCAAAGCAGGATAGCAGGGGGCCATGACTCCCCTCAAACGTGACACTAGACTCCTACTGATGCAGCCCAATGGCTTTTTAAGCTGCTGCATCACATTGATGGCCCATGTTCAACTTGTCGTCTGTTCAGACGCCTAGATCCCTTTCAAAATGGATGGTTTCTAAACCAGGTGTTATCCATCCTAGATCAGTGCCTTTCATTTTTATGCGTTAAGTGTAGCACTGTATATTTCTCCCTGTTGAAGTTCACTCGGTTAGTTTTGGCCCTGTTCTCTATAGTCTGAAGGTTGTTCTGGATTCTGGTTAAAGTCAACGTCAATTCAATTCACAGCTCCTGGTTCTCAACTCCCAGAAATCCTAACAGCTGGTAAACTGGCTGGAATTTCTGGGAGTAGTCGGCCAAAACACCTGGGGACCCACAGGTTCAGAACCACTGAGCTAGATGAGCTAATTCAAGTCTTTCTGTTCCTTACCCCTTGGACTCAAGCTCAGTTAAGGCCCTACTGAGAGGAGCTGTGTGCAGATGACGAACCAACATTGCAAAAGTTTCCGGGTCGCTCCCAAACTTTTCCAGCGAGAGTTGCAGCAGGCCAAGCAAGGCTTTGTTCGCCTGCAGCAAAACACAACTGTTTTGAGGTGGCGCTGCAAGGAGGCTAGCAAAGATGGCGGCTTCGTGCCTCACGGCGTGGTCCTCATCTTGGAGGAGGGTCAAGCCAGCATCGATTATACTGGGAACAAAAAAATCACATTAGGAAAACTGCCAAAAACATGGGCATATTAAGTGAAATCAGTATGAAATAATAATAATAATAATAATAATAATAATAATAATAATAAATCAGTGTGAAAGTATATACAGTTGGCCTTTGCAGATTTGACTTGTTGTGGATTTAATTATTTATGGATTTGATGAAAAAACTCTCTCTAGGAATGTCTAAGTCCGCCAGTGTGATGCTATGGTAAACTTCCATGGGACATTAAGCATAGAGCCAAACTTGAGGACCTAGACATTCCTAGAGAGGATACCGTTCTTGGAATCACTAGGTCCTCCAGTACAATTCAGGCTGAGTTGGCCAAACTGCTAGCGTCACTCTTGCCATTACATACATACCGTAGAGCCATGCTGCGAAGAGCTGAACTAGAGGATTGTTGGGCTCTCCAAATCAGATCCCCGCCTGCTATTTTCAGCGATTTGGCTGCTGCTATTCTGAGTGCTTCCAATGCAACAGCTTTGCTGCACTTTTCAATGACTGCGCCCCATCGTTCCCATATGGAATGATCCTCGGTACTGTTAGGAGAGAGAGAGAGAAGTTAATAATAAGATTGACCACCAATGTCATAGCCTGTTCATACTCTTACGACCAAAAAATCCCATCTTCCTTGAACCATAAGGAGAGGCGGGTAAGAAATAATATTTGTTGTTGTTGTTATGATTATTGTCTCCAAGGTTTCATCATTATATAGCAAATAAAAAAGCACTAGCTAAACATAAAAAGAGGTATAACCAAACTTGGGAAAACACGACCTGCTTGTTTAATAATAATAATAATAATAATAATAATAATAATAATAATAATCTTTATTTGTATTCCACCTTCTCTCCCCAAGGGGACTCAGGGAGGATTGCAACAAAAGACGGCAAACATTCAATGCCAGATCCAAGGCATAAATAGAAACATAAAGCAATCAGTTAATTTACATCTAACATAATAGACATTAAACATAAATTATATAAACAAGATTTAACATTCATTTGAAATCATTATTAAAATGTAATACAGCCAATGGAGCCAGCGAGATCAACAGAGTCAACTAAGCCAAAACCAACTGAGTTGGAGTATGGTGACAAATTTGGAACAGGACTATTGAATGAATGTAGACTTCTTGTCATCCTCCTCTCCAAATGCCACTGTACAGAAATAAGTTTTTAATTGTTTTTTGAAGGAGAAGAGGGAGGGGGCCGTTTTTATTTCTTTAGCGAGGGAGTTCCAGAGGTGGGGGGCGATCATGAGGAAGGCCCCTCTCTCATTCCCACCCGTTGCGCTTGAGATGGGGGTGGTGTCAGAAATATTAAAAATTAAGTAGGTATTTTTAATTACAAAAATGTGAATCAAGCACTTAAAGGGTTAAGTGAATGCAATGATTCAGCAAAACTGCAGTTCAATATAAGTAGGAGTGATTGTTGCTAGAAACGCCTCAGTCTGAGAGAGCTCTCAGTGTGAGAAGACACCTCTCTGTGTGAGAGAACACCTCAGTGGGAGGAAAGGCCTCAGTGGTAGTAGGCCTCACTGTGGGATAATAGGCCTTAGTGTTATTAGGCCTTAGTTTGAGGTAGGCCTCGTTATGAGAAGGCCTCATGTTTGAAGCTCCAGTGTGAAGGCTGAACTTTATTTGTGTCATGGAAACCTTGTTCTTGTAAATAGTGCAACCATTTACATTACCATGACCGCATTTCTGTTTACGAAGCCACGCGATCTCTTCGATCACCTGGAGAGGCCCTGTTCTCACTCCCGCCCCCTTCACAGGCTCAACTGGTGGGGATGAGGGAGAGGGCCTTCTCTATGGTGGCCCCCTGACTTTGGAACTCACTCCCCAAGGATATCAGACAAGTCTCCACGTTGGCAGTTTTTAGGAGGAGCTTGAAAATGTGGCTGTTCCAGTGTGTTGTTGTTGTTCATTCGTTCAGTCGTCTCCGACTCTTCGTGACCTCATGGACCAGCCCACGCCAG